GGTGTCGCCACGGGCGGCCGTGCTCGGATTTTGACGCCGAGAGCCTTCCCTGCTCCTTGGTTTTAAGAAATAAACCGCGGAGCCTCTGGCAGCTGCCGCGAGCGCAGTTGGTTCGTGTCTGTCCCGGGGCGCACTGGGACGCTCAGGTGGCCTCCCGCGTGGCTTCCTTGTGACAGCTCCCGGCCCGGACCCGGACAGCGGGACAGGCGAGCAGGGTGGCTGGCTGCGGTGCATGGGGACAGGGGCAGCAGCGCCGGAGTCGGAGGAGGGGCGTGGGCGGGACTGGACCTGGTTGGCGGAGCGAGGTCTGGTCTAACAGTTAAGGTAACTGAGGTGCCCTGGACGGAGCCAGGCACGGGAGGCAGCCCCAGCCCTTTCTCAGTTTTTATTTGGAAGGTCTCACAGTCATTACGTTTCCCAGGCTGAGCTTGAACTTGCGATCCTCCTGCCTCAGCCTCCTAGGTAGCTGGGATCACAGACACGAGCTACAGTGCAGGACAAGTTTCCACCCGCCTAACACCATTAATAGGAAGCTGGGGATTAATCCCCTGCAAACACTGAAACTGAAACTCTACCCCTCCCTGTCCATCCCCTGCAGCCTGGTGCTCAGGTGGCCCTCGGGCCCCAGGGGAGGGTGATAACCGGCCTGTGGATCCTTAAGCCGCCCTAGGTGGCCAGGGCGGAGGGGAAGAGTACCTGGCTGGCTAAAGTCTGGTCCAACCTGGAGACCTCACTTGCTCATCCGGGTCCCTACTGTGCACACGGGGACACTGAGTCCTAGGCATCTTTCTTTTTCATTGTTTTTTTGAGACGGTCTCATCATGTAATCCAGGCTGGCCTCAAATTTCCCGTGATCCCCCTGCCTCAGCCTCTCAAGTGCTGGGATCACAGACATGTGACACATCTTTCTTGTCCCAAAGCCTAGGGCGCTGGCTGTCCTCAGGTTGAAGAAATTCCCAAGAGTATAATCTGAGGGACTTGGGATGGGGCTCTGGTTTCCTTTATTTAATTCATAGCCTTTAGTTTCCTAGCAGTTCTAGGTCTTCAGGGAAACGGGCAGAGGCTGGGAGTCCACCCTCCTGTGCCTGTGCCTCTGTCCCTCACTGACAGTTGCTGGTGGAGGAACGGCCCTGTGGTGATGCTGGGTTCACTCCCACATCTGTGGGTGCCCTGGGTTCAAATCCACAGCTCTTCTCAAACCCCAAAGTAAACTGGGGTCCTGCAACTACCGCCACAGTGCAGGTTGGGTATCCCTGATCTGAAACTCACCAAGCCAGAAATGTTTAAAAACCTTTTAGTTTAAAACCTTTTTTGCATATATATAGTGAGATATTTCAGGGGTGGAACCCACATCTAAACACAATAGTTGCTTATTCCATATTTGGAGGCAGGATCTTAGTTGGTAAATTGTCAAGCCTGAGCTTGAACTTGAGATCCTCCTGCCTCAGCTTCCTTGAGTGGTGAGATTACAGGTGTCCACCACCAAACCCGGTTTAGGTACAAAAGTTATGTTTCTTTTGCACCTTATAAACAGTTATATACTGTGGTCAGTAGACACATGCATGAAACAAGTGTATAATTTTCTACTTGCGGTGAAAAAGTTTTGGATTTGGGGGTTGAGGGTGAGATTCAGTAGGAAGGTATTTGCTTAGCATGTATGAGGCCCTGGGTTCAGCCCTCAATACAAGCCCCCACCCCCCAGTAGAAAACAGCCCTCAAGTTTTAGATTTGGGAGTATTTCAGATTTCAGGTTTTTGAATGAGGTATGTTCAATATCACAAAAGTTAATTGCTCTAAAAGCCTCCACTGCTGGGTGTGATGGTGCACACCTGTAACCTCAGCACTTGGGAGGCTGAGGCAGAGGATTGCTGTGAGTTCTAGGCCAGCCTGGGCCTACACCCAGCCCGTATAGCTATTCCCCTCCTGTGAGGTCACCCTTTGTGATCTCAAAGCTCCTGCCTCAGCTGAGCTCCTGGGGTCAGAAGGCCCCTGGCCCAGCCCCTTCTTGGGAAGACTTCAGTGATACAGTGCTGCTTAGCAGGTGAGAGGCTCTGGGTTCCATCGCAGACCACACAAAATTAGAAAAAAGCCCAAAGGTTGCCTGACCATCACCGCCATTTAACTGCAGAACACTGTCATCAACGCACAAAAACCCTGCCAAGCACAGTGTGGTGGTGCCCGCCTGTTGTCCCTGCACCTGGGAGGCCGAGACAGGAAGATTGCAAGTTTGAGCCCACCTTGGGCTAGCTACATCGTGAGTTCAAGTCCAGCCTGAGCTACACAGAAAGAGCCTCTCAGAAAAGAGCCCCCTCCCCGGTCATCTCCCCCGTCTCTTGCCTCCTTGTAGCGGCAGCTCCCAGTGTCTGCCATCACTGGGTCCCACGCCGTGCGGCTTTGGCCTGGCTGCTGTTACTGCTCCCTTACGTTTCGTGACCCGGTAACGTTGCTGGATGGGCCATGTTGCTCATCCAGTCTCCACTGACAGACAGGTGTTTCCACTTCGGGGCTACTTTAACTGCTGTGAACATCCTCCCGGGATGCGCCCAGGCGGGCAGTGCTGGGTCCTAAGTGCGCACTGCCACCCTTCTCCAGTGCGGTGGAGCCGTTTTTCCTCTCACTGGCAACGTGTGTGGGTCTCACTCGGCTCCGTCCTTGGCAGCACCATCTTTTTTTTCTTTAATTTTGGTATCGGGCATCGAACTCGGGTCCTTGCGCTTTGGCAGACGGCGGCGTCTCTTCGATGACAGCCATCCTCGTGGCTGTAAAGCAGGACCTCTCACCTCACTCCCTCCCTCCTGCATGCTAGAAATGGAGCCCGGGGCTTCTTGTAAGCTAGGCAAGACCTGCACCCCTGGTCTACAATGTTTTAGTGTTGTTTTTTTCTCATTGAGTTTACTGGTACATTTCAGGTATACAGTACAGTTACATTCATCTTTGGGACCAACGTTTTAGGTTTTGAGGCCATGTCTCAAGTTGCCCAGGTTTCCTTCAGACTGGGATCCTCCTGCCTCAGCTTCCAGAGTAGCTGAGACTGCAGCCTGCACCAACACCCCTGCTTCACTGTCGTCTGCTCCTGCTTTATTGGAATTCCCATGTGCACTCCTTGATGGCCAGCGAACACGACAGCTGTTCGAGTGTTGCTGGCCACTTGCCTGTTTTTGTAGAATATCCATTCAGATACTTTGTCCTTTGAAAAGTCTGTCTTTTTATTGAGTTGTGAATCTGTTGTGTGTACAAGACCTTCACAGGTGGTTTGTGAAGCCTTTCTCCCACCCTGTGGTTGCCTGTCCACTTTGATGGTCACCTGGGCACAAGTCCGATTTCCTTGAAGTCTGATTTGTCTTCTGTTGCTTCTCCTCTAGGTGCCTACAAAGGCACAGGAACCCTGACAGTGTGGTATCCGCAGAAGAACAGGCATATAGGTTAACACTACGTTGATAAAACTCATAACATGCCAGGGTGGCGCACGCCTGTCACGCAGCACTCGGGAGGTTGAGGGAGGAGGATGGCTGCGAGTTCAAGGCCAGCCTGGGCTACAGAGCAAGACCCTGTCACACAACAAACACCAAGAAACAAACCACTACAGACGCAGCAACTTCAAAGCCCACAAAAATGCAACCTGTCCCAGGAAACCCTCCCCGCCCTGCACCGCATTCCGACGTGTTTCGGGCTCTCTCGCCTGGACCGCGAAGGGCTCTGGCACAGCCTGTAGAGGTGGGCGGGGCCGCCCCATCCCGTAGTGGCTTCACTCGCACGACTACGCATGTGCGCGGCGGGGGCTGCTCGAATCGCTACAGCCTGAGAGGCAGGGTAGGCCTTTGCGCAGGCGCACTTGCGGCCGCCGGGAGCGCT